ATGGAATCCAGACTGCTGCTGCTTCTGGTGGAGGCAGGTGCTGGGTTCTCTCGGCGCCTCGACTGGTGCAGCTTCTTTTGTTTGGCCGGGTCTGAACAGGTGATTGCCCCTTGACAGGAGCTCCATCTGGGGTTGGCAGTGTTTCAATCTGTGTTGTTAGCCTCTCGATAGGGGCAGCTTAAACAGGTGCTTGTGCCACGACAGGGGTGGCTTCCGGGGGTGCCGATTTAGACCGGGTGGCTCGGCTAATAGTCTGCTTGTGTTGGCCGGTCTTCCTCCCTCTTTGCTGGTTACCAGGAGCCACGGGTGGTTGTTAATAAAAGCTGAGCAGGTGAGTTGGCCTAGCTTTCTAGTACAGGTATTTAGCAATAGCTTAGTCTCTGCTAAGGTTACAAGCCTGATCAGAGTTCTGAAAAGTACTCCCAGGGTGCTCCTGACACAGTCTCCAAGGCTAAGGCTATCGTACAATAGACTTTGCAAATAATGCTTTTTCAAACAGCCGACGCCATAACCAGTCAAGACAGATTACAGCCGTTTGAAACAAGTGAATCATTGTCAAGATAAGACTAGCAACCATTGGACAGTTAATTCGAGCGCATCGAGCAAGGCGAGGTGGGCTGCTGGCGATTGGGCTGTCAGTGGCTGAATGGATTGATGAGGAGCCCTAAGACCCCTTTAAAAACCTTTTCAAAGCTCCTCCTACATTACTCCTAAACCACTCTCATTCAAGAGATGTCAAAGCTCCTCCCCGTAGGTAAGTCCATTCACTGTCAGTTGGGAGTGCACAACACTTGTTTCCATTCGTATGGTTACATTCTCATGGTCCAGCAAGCTGGCCAATGTCCATAAGCGAATTTATACCTTTCTTTACATCTTCTGCCTGCCAGGTTCTGTCTCCTAACACCTTCATTAGACCAGTGTCAATACTAGCCATCTGACTTGCACTGAAGTGCGGTAATCTCAGTTCTACAAGCCAAACCTCTAGCCACTCTCTCTGAGCTTTCCACTTCACTGGTGCCCCTAAGTCTACCTGGTCAGTCTTATCTGTTTTATCTGACACCTCAAACACTCTTCCAGGGTACTCATGTTTGACTACAACTGTAGTCAAAAGGAAATGAAATGGCTTTGTTCTGGGTCGACCTGGATTTAGTATATTTCCAAAACATAGTTTCCTGTATACTTTAAAATACATAGAAAAAGAATTAGCTAGAGAAAGACACGTTCTGAAGTCATTGAGCGTGTCGTCACAGTGGTTGATTTTGTCCATGGCATTTTTCCTGTAACTGTCGTAATGAAAATATAATATCAGTAGTAGACCGGTTCCCACGAAAGCCATACTGTGACTCTGAGTAAACCTGGTCTCCTAGGATCTGGAGTCTTCGCAGAAAAATATTTACAAGTACTTTTCCAACAGTCCACAGCAGTAGTTATTTGATAACCCTTGTTTTTGAACGTAGTTATGATGTATGAGTCTTTGAAGTCTTGTGGAACCTGTCCCTCACGCCAGCAGAGTGTTATTAGCTGATGAATGTGTGGGGATAGAATATCTTTCCCACTCCTGGTGATCTGAAGATAAATTCTGTCTCTGTCTGGAGCCTTCCGCTTCTTCAATAGTATTCTTAACTTCTACAATTGTTGGAAATGTCTCCAGATAGTCAAGAGTTGGTAGCATCTTTATGGCATTTGGAGCACCATCTGTTAGTTTAGTCTCAACTGAATACAGCGTCACATAATGTTCCACTCATCTATTTAGCTGTTTCTTCTTGTCACTAATAATTTCCCTGATTCAAACTCGTTAGTAGTGTACTTTGTTTAAAAATAGTTGGGCCAATGGCCTTCCTTGTTCCCTCATTCAGGCCTCTTAATTACTACTACTGCTTGCATTTTAAGGCATTTGAATGTGTACAACATCAGAAACTTTCAGAAATCATGAGGAATATGGGCTTTCTAGCACATGTAGTACACCTCAAAACCTGCTCTGTCTAGATGATACAACCAGGAAGCAGTATGATGCCCTAAATATCGGTGGTAATGAAACACCAGAGATCCAATATGCGGATAATACAGTACTGCTATCCACATCACAGACTGGGATAGAAAACTTAATAACCTCAACCCAAGGAAATAGTGAAAATCACAACTTATATCTTAACATAGCAAACACAAAGATAGTGTGTTCCGGGACACGCAGGCGTCGATGGAAATGAAAGAGCTGACAGGTTGGCTGGATCCGCTATCACTACCGACGGTCAGCCTATGGATCATGCTCATATTATCAATGCCCTCAGAGAAATGGGAAGGATAGACGACTTTGGTGGCAGTGAATCCACATCACTCGCCAGAATGGCAGACTTGGGAATTAAGATCGGCACAGCAAAAAACGAGACGCACACCAGCTACGCCAGAAGACTTGTTAATCAACATAGAACTGGTACTATTAGCCATCGGACGTTGGGCTTCATACTGAGGGGAGGATCTGAGCACCTATGGACATGTCCGGAGTGCAATGAGGATAACCCAACTAACTAACTAACTAACTAACTAACTAAGTGTGTACTACTATGGAGAAAGAAATATTTGTTAATGGGGAAAGATTGGAGCTTGTAGAAAATGTTGAATATCTTGGGTCATTGATTACTAACAATGGTGACACAATAACAGAAAAGAAACGACGACTTTCAGAATGCCCATCAGTGTCCCTTATATAAACACTAAAACAGACTGCAGTCTTGGCAAAGCCAGTAGCATATACACACATTCAATGCAAAAGATAGTATTTGTAAATCATAAAATGTATTTGTACCCTGGATACAGTAGTAATCATTATCGGTTTCCACTTCTGCCATTAAGTGTTGTGGGGAGAAACAGTTTGCGATCCATTGCTTGATGGGCAGCTATGGCTACTGTCATTCGATGTCTGTGTAGAAGCTCTTTAATGCCACCAGTCCATCTTCTCCTAGGATGGTCTCTTGCTTTCACTTCAGATCCTTTCATGTGTAGCACCTGCATTGGTAGTTGTTCTGGCTACATTCTTACTTATTGACCAAACCATTTGATCTTCTGTTTCTCATTGAATTAGCTGCATGGTGTTGTTCCTACAGTCTGTCTGATAATATCATTTCTTTGTCTTGGATGGTTAAATTGGTGGCTTTTCTCAGGCATCTCATTTCACAGGTGTTAATTTCAAGTAGGTTAGTCTTTGTCCAAGTCCAAAGTGCTGGTAGCACAGTGTTGGTATGAATATGCTGTTTATAATCTGTTTCTTGGCGCTTATTTTTATGTTTGGATGTCCTAAAAATGGTGCTGGTTGGTATATAAGTGCACTGGCTTGTTGGCATCTTGTTTCTATTTCCCGATCTATTCTTTCATCCTCCGAGAATATAGTTCCTAGATATTTAAATTTTTTAACTTGTCTCAGACAGGTACCATTCAACACGATATGTAGCGGACTAAGAATTCTGCTCACCTGCATTACTTTAGTTTTGGTAGTATATTTTTTTTCATGTTATATCTTTTGTATGATGAACTTAGCCTGTTAAATGTTTTTGAAGTCTACTCCCTCACTGTAGAACAGGCATTGATCGTCTGCAAATAGTAGCTCATTTATTGTGTGTGGATCTAATTTCTCCTTTGGAAAGTAAATTTCCCCATTTTCTGGGCCGACTGCCGCGTAGATGCACTCTGACTTTGAGGAAATGTTGGTTCAATCTTTTTTTGGCCAAACCCCTATCGTGAGGGAGGTATAGATAGGTCTTGATCAGTTTTTACCCTGGTCCTGGTGCACCACCAACTGTGATTCAGCACTGCTGTTATTTACAGTGAGAAAGTATCCCAGCAGTCTTAACTTCACTCTTATGTCTATGAGAGGACCTACCACACCACATACCAAAACAGCATGACTTCAGTGACAGATCATTCACAATCAGGTTAGGCACACCAATTAGTGACAGACAGGCGTGCATCACATACTGGACCATCATTCGCTAATTAATTTGTGTAAGTTTCACCTTTTTGTTGATCACAAAATAGGTAACAGAATGTTGCTCCTCTTTGGAGCACGTCAAAAGTGGTATGGCCATCTTTAAACTATCATTAGGATGCCAGCTTGTTCATCTGCACCTTGCTGTCTCATGCTTAATGCCCCTGGCATTCGTAACAACAGTGTTGACAGGTTACAGGACAGTGGCATGGTTATTGTAATTTCTGTCACATTTTTAAGGTTTTCCTTAAAAACTCCTTTTTATGTACAGTATTTATAATGAATGTGCATAGATTTAGAACAATCTTCTTCTTTTTTCATCATTCATCTGAGTGACATAAATGCATTGTGTCTGTTTACAGCTTAGCTGTGATTTTTGTGCCTATCGAATGACATATCCAACTTCTGGCATTTTTTATCCAGATTAGCCTTCCCACAGGACATTTGTGGGACTTTCTTATCCTTTATTCAGAGGTTTTATCCCTAAAGGACTTGTCCGGGTGCAGCTTCATGTGAAAAGTAAAGTAAAACATCTGCTGTATGGTCTATATTGTATGAGCAAAGAATATATAAACATATAGATTTGAACAAGGAAGACACAAACAAAAGATTGCACAATTTATTGTCTGGTATATTTAGCTGCATCCCGTCAGGTGCATACTACAGTAAAAATTAAATTAAGTGAAGCAAATAAATGAATCCTGTATATATAACTGAAATACAAAGTCAACCACTTAGAAGCAACTGCATATTTTACCAGGACAGTCCCAGGGTCACTATCATGTCTATATATAATAAAAGAAAAGTAGATGTTTTTGGGTTTGTTTACTTTAAATGTAGCTTTGAAAAGAACAGCTGTGTGTGCTACATTTTTGATATAACTGAATGTGTCTTTGTCTTCAGATTGCCTTGAGCAGAATTTGTTCCTAAGGATTATAGAAAATATCAATGACATTTTTACAAACTATAAACTATTGACAGATGATTAGTATATTTTTCGCTGTGCTTTGTTTTGTTTCAGGGAATCTACAAAACAGGTGGCGTGTGTCTGCTTTGGTGTACTGTCAATGATATTTGTAACTGTGGCATTTGAATAAAACATGGTGCTTCACTAAGTGATACTTTGCTTATGACTACAAACAATAAACCCAGTGTGAAAATAACTAAGATAATAACATCAAAATATTTCTGTTTCTTTCTGTTGTGTTCCTCTGTCTGGCACATATCTGCAACTTTCAGCCCAACATCCAATGTCAAAAAACCCCGTATTAGTTGCTTGAATGACATGCTTGGGGTCTGGAACGCTAACAAGAAAAACCATTTTAATTTTCGTCATCATCATCATCAGATCCTTGCCCATTGGCATGGACGATCATGCCTCTCCACAATCCATGATCTCCTGCAGCATGTATCAGTTCGTGTGCTGACACACCTTCATGGCATGCAACAAGACTGTTTTATATTTTACAATTATGAAATACTCTTTTTTTCCCCAAACAATGGTGCACTTTGGTAAATATTTTGTAAGTTAAATTTTTTGGCTATATTTCTATTTAATTATACAGTATCATACTTTTGTTTACCTTTCATACCTTAATGAGCATCCATGAGCTCTTAACCTTAATACAGACCATGAAAGAAACAACAGATCGTTTTAAAACTGTAGCATGGCAGAGCAAAACTGGAAAATGGGATGAGTTCTGTGAGAGAGAGTGTCATGAAAAATCACCAAAGCTTTTTTGGTGGTTACAGCAGTCTATGTATAACTTGCCTGACATTCAGAACATGATGGTAGGTGTCACAGAACGGATGAAAGCAAAAGGCCTATTACTTTTCAACCAATATTTGCAGCAATCAAACCAGATAGATACGATACTGTAAGTCAAACAAAAAAATCTGTTACACCTAAAGAAGAGCTCTGTATCACTGTAGATTAAAAAATATACACCCTAAAAAAACATAGCACAGAGTCCGATACGAAGACTGAAAACTTTTCTAAACTAACTGACGAGGAACTGTTAGAACTGCGCAGTGAATACTATAGTAGCATAAGGACTGTCACAGTCAGTGAGACATGGCTTCAAAGTTATTTAATACCTTGGCCCAATCCTGGCAAAGAACCATCTTCTGTAAGCAGCTACCAAATTACAGTAGAACCTCGCATAACGAGCACCTTTCATAACGAGTAATTCGCATAACGAGCATAACAAATTGTAAAAAAATGACTTGCCTAATGAGCGACGTTTCGCATAACGAGTGGCGAGGAGAGGGGAAATCCCAAATTGTGCACATGTTACATCAGTCTGTGTTTAGCACTAGTTCCAGTAGCATTGTAGTGTTGCTTGTGATCATACATTTTCTCAAACTTGAGTTATATTGTGATATATGTACATGAATCGTGAAGGCTACAAGATCACCTCTCTGAAGAATTTAAGTTCATCAAGATCCATTTTCTGCCTCCCAACACCACTCCATTACTCCAGCCCATGGATCAGCAAGTTATTTCTAACTTTAAGAAGCTCTACACTAAAGCACTCTTCGAGCATTGTTTTCAGGTGACTGAAGGGACCAACCTCACTCTCAATGAGTTTTGGAAAAATCGCTACCACATCGTTGCCTGTCTCAAAATGATAGACAAGGCAGGGGAAGGGGCTACCAAGAGAACCCTCACTTCTGCTTGGAAGAAGATTTGGCCGGAGAGCGTTGTCGATTTGTGACTTTTAGGAGTTCGAGACAGTACCTGTGGAACCTGTAGTTAACGAGATTGTGTCTTTGGCCACTATCATGGGATTGTAGGTGGATAACAGTGATATCAAAAAGCTTGTGGAAGAGCACAGCCAAGACCTGACCACCCAAGAGGTTATAGAGTTGCATTGTGTTTCACAGCAAGGAGTTTTTGAGGAAAGTTTGTCAGAGTAGGAGGAGGAGGTAACAGAAAAGCAACAATCTTCTGGCGAAATAAGAGAAATGCTGAAAGCATGGCAACTGTTGCATCTTACATTGAGAAGCATCACTCTAGTAAGGAAGTGGCTATGCGCGTTGCAAATTTATTTAATGATAATTCTGTCACATTTTCGCCAAATTTTGAAGCGTCGGCAAAATAGTCTCTGGACATCATTCTAGTTAAAAAGAAAAATAATTAGCTATGTATCATTACAATTTCGCCTTTTTTTCTGCAAATGCAATTCGCATTCCAGGTGTGTTCGTTATGCGTTTGAAGAAAAGATGAAGATGGTTCACTCTAATTACCAGTATGTAGATAATTTTCTTTGGAAAAAAAATATCAACGTTATAAATAACATTTTGTGAGTATTTTTTTCCACATAGAATGTATTATCATATTTTACATTAATTTATATGAGAAAAATTGTTTCGCATAACGAGTGTTTCGCTTAACGAGTATGATTCTGGAACAAATTATGCTCGTTAAGCGAGGTTCCACTGTATCAGTATGCAAAACGCCATTGGAAAACTGCTAGAAAAAATTAGGGGCAAGGGAAATTACTCATAAGTTAGAACAAACAGGTAGACTACCATCAACATTGGGAGGATTTAGACATCATTGGGATATGTGGAGTTATGTGCTGTTTTGCTTATGGTGTCTATGAAGGTTTCCAAGCAGGAGAGGATTGGAAACATCTGCTGTGACGCTAAACTTGGAAGATGCATACAACAAGGTTCCTTTTGAGAAACTCATACACCAGCTCCTGAATATCAACATTTTCCTGATACTCATTAAGTGGATAGCAGCAGCACTGATCAAGACACCGGATGTTTTTAAATGTGAAAGATGGATCTTTGCATTGAAAACCATACATCCAGGATTGCCTCAGGGATCATTTTTATTCCTAAGCTTCCATATTTTCACTATGGAGATAACAAAATATTAAATCCCAAGTGAAGAAAGTACCGCCAAGGCAAGAACAGGGGCAGAAGTGTAAAAGACCTCCAGAAGGAACTGGGGCGCATAGCAGATTGAAATAAAACCTCCGGAGCACAGATTTACACTTCAAAAGTGATTGCAACTTGGTTTTCATTGAACAGTCACATAGGACGCACAATAACGCTATCTGTGCAAATGAATGGTGAAGAGATAGCAAGGACTGAACTTTTAAAATACTTGGGAGTGAGTTTTAATAAAAGCCTTAACTGCAGATTCCAAGTTGATACTGTGATCAACAAGGCCAAAAAAAGGGTTTCACAGCAATGCAAATTATGGCTGCCATGTGTGGTCAACAAAGGCTTTTAGTCATCCTCTATCAGGTTTTGATCCCCTCTGTCATAAAATATGTACTGGCAATCCTCACCCTCAGCAGGACACAAATGGACAGATTAGAAAGGGTTTAAAATGAAGCAGTGTACATCATACTTGTCTGCACCAAAGACACATCGTGTAGAGCATTGAGACACCTACTAGGTCTTCCAGATTTAAACAGCAGGCTTGAAATGCCACAAGCATGTGTCTAATTAAAAATCACTGAGGTCTTTACACACCCATTGCACGATGAACTGAATAAACTTCAAGGCAACGGGCTTAAACTAGGCCAGTTTGGGTTGGGCCTTGCAGAGACAGTACTTCAACAGGTGATTTCCATTCAAGACATAAACCGTGGAGAGGACTGGTTCACATACCAAATGAATACAAGCAGTACTTTGTGGTGGTTATCACTCTGACAAGCAAGACAATTGCCCTGTTTTGGTAATAATACCAACTCCATTACTATATTCCTTCCCACCTGAGGAAATAATTCTGTACTGATCTGAATACTTTTCCCCTGCTCCTTGCCATCGCATTTTACTAATTCCTAATAACGTTGATGTTCATTCTTTTCATTTCCATTTTGATGTTATCCAACTTTCTGTTTTGTACAAGTGTTCTGACATTCCGTGTACCAATGTTCAGGATGTTTCTACCATTTACTTTTTCGACAGTAGCTGGATGACGGTCGGGTATTACCCGTAGAACATGATACTCCCTACTGGACGAGGTGATTCCACTGGGTACCTTATTCACGTTGTTATCTGACGAGGCATGCTTTTCTAGTTATAATACAGTGGTCGTTTCCCTTGGCTTTCGCTGGTTTGAATATGGTTTGACTCCAATAGCCTTTATCTAAAGAGACTGACTCTGCTAGGCAAAAAGGGGGGCGGGGGGGTGGTTATGGCACCTCTTACTTGCCGATGACCATGTCGTAGAGTTTTAAGATATTATATAGTTACCTGTCCCACCAACTCGCCTCTTCTCAATGACCATCACCTGTTTTGGTCCACGGCCACTTCAATAAATTCGTGGCTAACCTCTATATCTAGTGTCTTTTCCAGCATCCGCCACTTGATGGACACGCCTAGTAGTAAGACAGGCTCCTACCTCATGCTAACATCTCACAGTAAACTAAAATATTTTCAAAAACGTGCATAACCAAAAGTCTACTAGTTTCGACTGCAAGAGGAATTCAAATCCCTGTCTGAGAAAGTAAAGTTAGTATTCCTGCCTTTCTCAACTATGTATCTCTGTTAAGTGGGATTATCTGATTTTACAGCCACAGAAATAAACATTAAAAAAAAACATAATCTGATTAGATGTAGAACATGTACCTGTAATTTTCATACCCTGAGATAAGAAAAACTGCAACAGTGTCTTTTATTTTTTTTTTACATTGTTGCTGCTGTCACCAACGTTGCTTAATCTGTTGTAATGTAAATGCTTTGATATGTTGAATGGTGGAAGAACTTTTGTTTTGACAATATCATGCGTATTGGTGGTTCAGAATAAATTGACTATTATGGAAAATTTTAAAGGTTTTAAAATATAATTTTATTGCATGGACATTGTGCAGTGGTTAAATTATCTTTTAACTTAACATTCCGTTGCTGTCTAATCCTTCTTTCTCCCTAAACGTCTATTAACTTTTAAGACATAGGATACGATAGGCCCAGGGTTGTGCCAAAGAAATTGATTCTTTCTTCATGTTCACTGGCTGTAAACTCCAGCAGAAAGTTTTGGTCTTTCATCCACTTCTATAGTCCTGTTGCAGAACCTGAGTGTTGCATACACATCCGTTTTACCGATCTAACTCATGTGTATGCAGATTGTTGT